TCAGCCAAGGCCCTGCCAGTGCCAGAAACACCATCTCAGGATAAGCAGAAACCCCGCAACTCCTAGCATCTGTCTTGGAAGGGAAAGAGAAGATGTGTTGTCCTCTCAGGGGCTACCTGAGGAAGTGCATTATACCTTGCCTGCCTTGGAGTTCTAATGGAAATGGCAGTGGCCTATGGGTACCAGATTAGGAGCCACTGAGAACTATGGAAAACACTAGTTATCCTCCCAGAGCAACTTCAATACCATATATATATATAAACACACACAGCCCAGAGAAGGTGCCTCCCAGCAAAAGTTGGAGAGTCCCCAACAATCTCCGTGACGGTCTTTCCCCATATGAATCCAGTCCAGAAAACTTGGGGAAGGTGTTTTCCCAAATGATCACATCTAACCAGAGAACAAAAGGAATGCATAGAAACTGGGAAATATGACCCAAAGGAACAAATTGCTTCATCAGAAATAAGTTACTAAACCCTCTTTAAAGATATGGAGAGGGGCCGGCACCGTGGCACACTACGTTAATACTCTGCCTGCAGTGCAGGCATCCCATATGGGTGCCAGTTCTGGTCGGTTGCCTCTCCTCGGATCCGGCTCTCGGCTGTGGCCTTGGATAGCAGTAGAAAATGGTCCAAGTGCTTGGGCCCCTACACCCACATGAGAGACCAGGAAGATGCACCTGGCTCCTGGCTTCAGATCGGTGCAGCTCCAGCCATTGCAGCCATTTGGGGAGTGAACCAATGGAAGGAAGACCTGTCTCTTTCTCTCTCACTGTCTTTAACTCTACCTGTCAAATAAATAAATAAAATCTTTTAAATAAAATAAAGATATGGAGATATTTGATTTTTAAACAAATTCAAAATCATCTCAAAGATTGTCAGCTAGCTAAATGATGACACAAAGAGATCAACTGTACAACCAGAAAAAAAGGAATAAATGAAACAAGTATATATACAACTTTTAACTCTTAAGACTCAGCTTTTCACTCTGGCCTCAGAATCAGCCCTAAAGGCATTCGGATCTGGCTGAAAAGCCCATGAGAGTATTTTAGGCATGGAAAGCCAAGACACTCTGGCAAAAAAAGAAAAAGAAAAAGAAAAAGAAAAAGAAAAAGAAAAAGAAAAAAAAAACCTAAATGAAAGATCTCTGTGAGTGAGATCCCAGTGGAAAGAACAGGTCTTCAAAGAAGGAAGTACCTTTCTCTGAAGGGAGGAGAGAACTTCCACTTTGACTATGACCTTGTCTAAATAAGATAAGAGTCAGTGAACTCAAAAGGCTTCCATAGCCTTGGAAACTCATGACTGGAGCATAGGGAGATTAATGATGCCATGAACAGGAGTGTCAATTTGTAAAGTCAACAACAGGAGTCACTGTGCACTTACTCCTCATGTAGGATCTCTGTCCTTAATGTGCTGTACATTGAGATTTAATGCTATAACGAGTACTCAAACAGTATTTTTCACTTTGTGTTTCTATGTGGTGCAAACTGTTGAAATCTTTACTTAATGTATACTAACCTGATCTTCTGTATATAAAGAAAATTGAAAATGAATCTTGTTATGAATGGAAGGGGAGAGATAGTGGGAAAGGGAAAGGTTGCAGGTGGGAGGGAAGTCATTGGGGGGGGGAAGCCAATGTAGTCCAGAAGCTGTACTTTGGAAATCTATATTCATTAAATAAAAGTTTAAAAAAAAGAAAATAAAGGTAACAAACTATAAAAAAAAACCACAAATTTTGGAGATAAAGAATACAATAACTAAGTTGGAACATTCTATAGAGTGTTCAATAGCAGGTTCAAGTACAACAAAGAATCAGTGAACTTTTGGACTTTTCAAATAATTTATTTAACAGTTATATCTATATTTTTAACACTTTATTTCAGAATAGTTTTAAATATACAAAAGTTGTGAGTCCCCATATATCCCTCATTCTACTTCCCCCTATTACATCGCATGTTAATATCATTGTTACAGTGAACCACACCCATCTTCCCCAATTATTTTTAAAACTTTATTTATTTATTTATTTGAAAGAGTTAACAGAAAGAGGAAGAAACAGAGAAAGAGATCTTCCATTCACTACTTGCCTTCCCAAATGTCTGCAATGCTTGGAACTGGGCCAGGCCAAAGCCAGGATTCAGGAGCTTCTTTCAGATCTCCCATACAGGCACAGGGGCACAAGCACATGGGCCCACCTCCACTGCTTTCCCAGGTGCATTAGTAGGGGGCTGGACTGGAAGTGGAGCAGCCAGGGCTGAAACTGGCACCCATGTGGGATGCCGGTGTTGCAGGCAGCAGCTTTACTCGCTGTGCCACAGTGATGCCTTTTCCCCTATCTTTTCATCCTGAACACTTTCACTTATTCCATGATTCCCAACCTCCAGTAATCAACATTTTTGTTAAGATTCAGAATTTTTTATTTAAAATTATCTACTCACAGGAACAAAAGAAAAATAATGAAGTAAATAAAACTAGAGGGATGTATGGGATACCATAAGGAGATATGCCCTATGCCTTATATTCCATATGCCTTATGAAAATTACACAAAAAATTAGGAAATGGAGTATGGTAGAGAGCCATTTTTAAGAAACAATGACTCCTATTTGGAGCTTCCTACATTTCAAGAAGTAAGTCCATATACACATTATGAAAGCTCAGTTAACTCCATTAAAATAAATCCAAAGAACTACCACTAAGCCAAATGATAATCAAAATATCCATGTTGCAGAAAAAGAGAATCCTGAAAACAGCAAAGGAGAAGTAACTTATCACATACAATGAAGCTCTAAAACACTACAGACTTTTCAGATTATCTCTAGGGTACCTTAAAATTTCTCACGCCAGGGCCTGGAGCTGTGGCAAAGTGGGTTAAGCTGCTGCCTGCAGCTCTGGCATCCCATATGGGTGCCAGTTCAAGTCCTGTCTGCTCCACTTCTGTTCCAGCTCCCTGCTAATGCACCTGGGTAAGCAACAGAGGATGCCCCAGGTGCGTAGGCCCCTGCCACTCATGGGGGTGACCAAGAAGAAGCTCCTGACCCTGGCTTAGGCCTGGCCCAGCCCTGGCCATTGCAGCCACTTGGGGAGTGAGCAAGTGGATGAAAGATCTCCCTCTCTATCGCTACTCCCCAGTCGTGCATGTGTGTGTAACTCTGCTTTCCAAATAAATTTCACTTCAGCCTTCACAGAAGTCAAAAAAATCAGAATCTCTAGTGGGAAGACCCAGGCCTGAGGTTAGGTGAACAACCCTGGTGGTCCATTAAAAAATGGAGCAGTGATAGGGGTCCACACTGAAAACCAGCACAAATAAGTTAGATAGGTTCAAAATGGGATGAAACATGCAGAAGAATTATGGAAAAGATGTCAACTTGAAAAGTTCAGAAAGGGTTGTTCATTTGACCAGGATTCATGGATCATCCATAATAAACTGCAGAGAGTTTTGCAGAGCTAAAGTAGGATTCAGGCATGCAATGGTTAAGATGTATAAAAAATCTGTAATACTCTCCATTCAAAATGGCAAAAGAAGCAATATTCAGACACAAAATTTAGAGAGACGAGAGCCTCATACATCATGTAGTTAGAGGTGAGACTTGTACTTCTAGATGCTTAGTTTTGCTTCCTTTTTCAACCTCTAGTCCAAACGCATGGCACAAGGACAGAAATTAGGCTGTGTTGCTGAGGAGCTTCTGTATGGCTCTCTTCAAGTCCCTGTTCCTCAGGCTGTAGATAAAGGGGTTGAGCATGGGGGTGACCAGAGTGTACACCACTGAAGCCCAGGCACCTGCCCCCAGAGAAAGAAAGTTGAACTGAGATACACCCCAAGGCCTGTTCCATAAAATAAGCAAACGACTGACACTTGAGAGCCACAGATACACAGCAGGTGTACTTCCCACCTGCTGAGGGGATTCTCAGAATGGAGGACACAACGTTATAGTAAGAGAGGAGGATCTCTGAGATAAGGAGAAAACCATAGATGATGCCAACAAGATATGTGAATACATCATTGGTGAAGGAGTCGGAGGGAGTCAGGCTGAGAAGCTGAGTAGGCTCACAGAAGAAATTAGAAAATTCCACTTTCTTGAAGCAGGAATCCCTTAAGACCATCAAGTTCTGCAGCAGGGAATACAAAAGGCTCTCCCCAAAGGACGCCAAAACTAAGAAGCCACAGTGGCAGGGATTCATGATGGTCTGGTAATGCAGGGGGTGACAGATGGCAACAAACCGGTCACAGGCCATCACGGTCAGAAGCAAAGCATCCATGCATCCACAGATAACAGAGAGAGACATCTGCATCAGGCAGCCCACATAGGAGACGACTGTGCTGTGAGCATGGATGTCCACAATCATCTTGGGAACCATGGTGGAGGTGAAACCCACATCAGCCAAGGACAGGTTGCAGAGGAAGAAGTACATGGGGGAGTGGAGGTGGGAGTCTGAGCTGACAGCAAGGACGATGAGCAAGTTCCTGAGCACCATGACCAGGTACATGGACAGGAACAGCCCAAAGAGGAGGGGCTGCAGTTCTGTCATCTCTGAGAAGTCCATGAGGTGGAATTCAGGGACACATGTGACATGTTGTGTTTCAATATAACCTGGGAATCCTTGAAAAGAAAATAACATTAGTAAAGGAACAAATGGCTCATGGCCTGTGCCTATATTTTCAACTCAACCCATTATGGGTATAGCACATGAGTAACTCTAAGGTTCTTAGAATAAGAGCTGAGGCTCTGTCCTGAGGACTGGCAAGAAGACAGGCACGGGAATGGGCCAGCTAACCCCTGTGGCACCTCCGGTGATGGAAAGCGCAGGAACAATTCCCACTGGATGGACTGAAAACCTGAAGGGTGGGAGGCACTACGCTATTGCCTCGTTCAGTGTTTGGGCAGGGACGGCATTGTGGTGCAGCAGGTTAAACTGCCGCCTGCCACCTGGTATTTCATCTCGGCACCAGTTGAATCCAGGCTGCTCTGCTTCTAATCCAGCTCCTTGCAAATGCACTTGGGGAAGCAGTGGAAGGTGGTCTGAGTGCCTGGACCCGTGACACTCACATGGGAGACCAGGATGGAATTCCAGGCTCCTGGCTCTGGACTGACGTAGCCCAGCCATTGCAGCCTTATGGGCAGTGAACCAACAGACAGAAGATCTCTCTGTGTCTCTCTCTGTGTCTCTTTGTGTGTGTGTGTGTCTCTCTCTGTGTGTGTCTCTGTGTGTGTGTCTCTGTCTCTCTGTCTCTCTCCCTTTCAAATAAGCAAACCTTCTTTAAAACAAAACTAAGGTTCTCACCTGCCAGACATACTGTGTGAAACCCAGGAGAGTTATGTTGGCACATAAAATAAGACATTTGCTGTTTTTCCCTCACATGAAGAATGTTCCTTTTTAGTTGTAAAAATTTATTTTATTTGAAAGGAAAAGACTGAGATTAAGAGAGCAATGTTATCCATCCACTGGTTCACTTCCTAAATGCCCACAGCAGCCAAGGCTGGGCCAGGCCAAAGCCGGAAGCTAGGAACTCAGTCCACATCTCCCACGTGTGTGGCAGGGACCCAACTGCTTGAGTTATCACCTGCTGCCTCCAAGGATGCACATTAGTAGGAATTCAGAATCAGAGTGGAGCTAAGATAAAAAACCAGGCCCCACAGTATAGGATACAGGCATCCCACATGGCACTAACACCCACCTCAAATTATGAGTGTCATCAACAGAAATGAGAAGACCCTAAATTCTGCCTCTTTTGTGTTTATGAGAAGACTGATATTGAAAACTGGCTTGATTTCTTGAGCACATGAAAAAAAAATTACGATTTATTTATTTTATTCAAAAGGCAGAGTTACAGAAAGAGAAGGAGTGACAGATCTTCCATTCACTGATTCACTCCCCAAATGGCTGCAACAGCTGCAGATGGGCTAATCCAAAGCCAGGAGCTAGGTGCTTCTTCTGGGTCTCCAACATGTATGCATGAGCCCAAGCATTTAGGCCATCCACCGCTGATTTCCCAGGACATTAGCAGGAAGCTGCATTGGAAGTGGAGCAGCCAGGACTCGAACCAGCACCCTATGGGATGCCAGTACTGCTGGCAGAGGCTTAACCTAACATGAAACAGTGCCACCCCCTTGTGCACATTTTTAAATACTCCCATCACAGCTCATCCTCTACCTTTTGCCCCATGTCATGATGTATTGATCAGTCAAGAAACAGAAACAAATCCAATTATCATAATGGAGAGAACAGAATATGGGCAATGGGTCCAATAGCTTCTGCAGGACAAAGGCAAAGAAGGAAAAACGTGTGAACAGAAATGGTAACTGAAGAGGCTCTCTCCAACACTGAGGCCTGAGTGGGAGAGAAGAGATGAGTGAAATGCACCACACTTCCAATGTAGTTAAGGTTAGTGACCATGAGTGATGTTTTATTAAAGAAAGGTGGAAAGTAGAGTAGTGATTTTTAAGAGCTCCAACCTGGGGCCTGCACAGTGACACAGCAAGTTAAATCCCCAGCCTACAGCACTAGCATCACATATGTTGAGAGGAACGGTCATGTAACAAGAAGCCCAAAAGACATGGAGATGATGATAGATGCCTTCACATGCTGTGACATGAGGACTGATTCAGGACTTCTTGGAGCTGTCCATTTCAGTTCTAGGAACACAAGGATAGCAAGGGCAGTGAGATTATGTTATTCTGTTGATAATTCTCTGCAGAGCTCTCTTGATGTCCCTGTTCCTCAGGCTGTATATGAAGGGGTTCAACATGGGGGTGACCAGGGTGTACATCAGTGAGACCACAGCACTCTTTCTGGAAGAGGTGGAGAAGGATGCACTGAGATACATGCCTAAACCTGATCCGTAAAATAAGCAAACGACCAACAGGTGCGAGCCACAGGTGGAGAAGGCTTTGTACTTCCCGTCTGGGGATGGGACTCTCAGAATGGAGGACACGATTTTATAGTAAGAGAAGAGGATCCCTGAGATAGGGAAAAACCCAAATACAATACCAATAAGATATATGACAATGTCATGTTTGAAGGTGTCATCACATGTAAGATTGAGAAGCTGAGAAGGGTCACAAAAGAAATTAGAAATTTCAGCTGTCTTGAAGCAGGTAACTGGTAATAATATCAAGTTGTGCAGCAGGGAATAGAAAAGGCTAGCCACAAATGACACTGTAACCCAGAAGCCACAGCGGTGGGGGTTCATGATGACCTGGTAATGCAGTGGATGACAGATGGCGACAAACCGGTCATAGGCCATCACAGTCAGAATCAAATCATCCATGCATCCACAGATGAGAAAGAGAGACATCTGCATCAGGCAGCCCATATAGGAGATGACTCTGCTATGAGTGTGGATGTCCACAATCATCTTGGGAACCGTGGTGGAGGTGAAACCCATGTCAGCCAAGGACAGGTTGCAGAGGAAGAAGTACATGGGGGTGTGCAGGTGGGTGTCAGAGATGATGAGCAGGATGATGAGCAGGTTCCCAAGCACCGTGACCAGGTACATGGACAGGAACAGCACTAACAGGAGAGACTGGAGGGTTGGATCCTCTGAGAAGCCCACGAGATGAAATTCTAGGACACATGTCAGATTTTGTGTTTCAACAGAGCCTGCACTCCTTCTGGAAAAGAAGATAGGGATGGAAAAAGGAGACATGGGCACACAGCTTGCATATAGTTTTTCTGTATATAGTTTTAATTCAGCTAATCATGGGTATAACATCAGGGTAACTCTAAGGTCCACAGAAGAAATATAATTAAAAGAATGTTTTTAGAGCAACTTTAAAAAGTTAGGAAACCCAGAATATTAGACATACCTAGTCCATGAACATAGTCAAATGCAACCAAGACTTTTAACAAAAAAGAATAGGAAATGCCCCTTTGTCTTCAAAGATAATATTCTAAATAAGGGTCATTAAGAAGCAGTTAAATATACCTTATTTTAACAATGATACAAATTCCATTGACTTAAGTGCGCTCTAAATGACAAGACTGTGTTATGTCAACACTAACTTAATGTTGATCGTTCATGATAGGAAGATACTGTTTTGTGTTAGTTACCATTCAGAGGTTTCATCATTCTCCAGTTTTCTGCTTTCCCTTTTGTATCTCCTTTTTGTTTAATAGGGAAACACACAGAGAGACATGGACAGGGAGGGAGAGGGAGAGAGAGAAAGAAAGCAAGAGCACCCATCCATTGATTCACTCCTAAATGCTTACAATGGCTTTGGATGGACTACTACAGAAGCTGGGAGCTGGAAATTGATCCAGGTCTCCTACATGGGTAGCAGTCACCCATGTACTTTAGTCATCACCACTGCCTCCCACAGTCTGGGAGGAAGCCAAGTAATCAACAATAGCCAGGAATCAAGCTCAGACACTCCCTTGTGGAGGGGGTATCTTAACCATGTTGTGTGCCCACTGTTGTGTGTCTGTCTCCCATGTGATCCATAACTTCTATCCTGGTCACTGGTGGGGGTCAAATTTTGATAAATGTGGTTTAGATAAGTGCACATAATCATACAAAAATCAGTGATCAAGTGTAACTTTAGTGTATTCTGCACCTGTCAGTGATCAGAAATAAGGATTTTTTAAAAGAAATGTCTGAATTTTCAAAAGCTTGAACAGGTAATTTTTGTATTTGCCTCAAGATCTCAGTAAATTATCTTGTGTTTGAAAGGTGTATCTTATTTAAATATTTTAAATTTTTTCTTTTTTCTTAGCAACCTGGTGATGCTGCTTTACAATTTTTATGATCATAAACCCTCTTATTCAAAGTTAAAGTGTTTGGTATCAGGGAGCGCACAAAGTCAACTTTGAGTCCCAATCTTCCTATGCATAAAAAATATTTTCATATTAACCTTTCCTTATTCATGGGTTGCAATTCTGTAACTTTATCTGCCCTAAGAAAACTGTAGTTCATTATGGTAGCAGGAGATATTATGGTTGAAATCAGAAAAATGCAAAACAGAGAATTCCAGGAAGTAGTGCAAACATACTTGTGCAGATTCTTCATCCGTGAAATGTATTTTTGCCCTACAAGACTGTTTCAAGGAAGTTTTCTTAAATCTTTTTATTTTTCTTTATTCATTTTTTCATCTTATTTGAAACAGAGGTATCTTTCCTCCACTGCTTCACTCCCCAAATGCCCACAAGAGCTCAGGCTGAGGCTGGAGCCCAGAACTCCATCCAGATCTCCTATGTGATGTCAGAAACCTGAGTACTTGGGCCATCATCCGAGTCTGTCATGCATATTAGTAGAAAGCTTGGTCAGAAGCAGAGTAACTGGGACTCAAACCAGGTACTCCTCTAGGAGATATGAGTTTCCCAAGCCGAGGCTCAACCAACTGCACCACAATGCATGCTCCTTCATGTCAGTATTAGTTTGTGCATCTCTAAGTAGATTTCTTTAAAACTCACATGAAAAGTATGTGTAGGTATCTCGTATACACACCTACTGCCCCTGAAACAGACTAGGATGCACTGAAGTTGAGTTTTCAGCCCCTCTGGGAAGTACATTCACTTCAAACATTTCATCTGCTTCACATCTTGACCTGGGAGGGGGACATCATCTAATTTGTACGTGCATTATTATGACAAGCTTTTGAAAATCTTTGTCCCTCTCTTCATATCACACAAGTGAGGATTTCTGGTTGAGTAGCAAAATTTGATGCATGTGTAGTTTTGTCCAACACCTGTTTGCTATTCAAAAAAAAACACATCTTTAATAAACCAACTATATATACTAACTATATATTTGATATACCATCTATCTATATATATATATATATCAACTATATATTTGTATCATCAAATGTTTCTCTGTAATATGTAGTAGTACTCCTTTCATAATAACAAGAAATTTCATGTTGTGTGGGAAAGTTCTTTCTACTTGGCATAATATTTCTGCTTGCTGTATGGAGGGAGTGAGGAAATCAGCATCATTCACCTACAATACATGCCAACACATGTGTAAATCTCTCCACCTAACCATGATTGTATTGTCCACTGGACATAGGAAGAATAACACCCATATCTGTGACAGGGTATCATCTAGGGGAATGAGAGCTTAAGCATGTGCTCATTGTGATTTTTCAAAATACAGATTCTGTAAGTGGAGAAATAGCAAATTCTTGATAAATGATGCTGGCAAAGGGTACTGCTGGCTGCAAGGACATCCAAATCTAGATGGTGCCTCAGCACTGGCACAAGAATTGCCTGCCCCCTTCTCCTGTGCATTTATGCTAGATGTGAAACACATCTCTGCCTTGATTTTTGAATACTCAGAAACAAAGATTTTGCTGTAGATTCCATTAAGCGTCATTACAGGATCCATGTGTCCTTCACAGAGATGCAAACATGTGCTATTCCATGGTCTCTAGTTCTGTGGGACTTTCCTGAAAGGGGTCTTCAAGAAAGTACCAGTGGGTTAAAGCCACACTGATGGCGGCCAGTTATTGCGAGCCATGGAAGGGTCTACTAAACGTGTAACAGAGATCTTCATTGCTGATGCTTCCACTCTGCCAAGCAAGGTACAGAATTAGGGCAATCAGAAATGAAAGGGAGTGCATCATTCTCAAAAATACATGTTCACGGCCATATTGAAGCTTCAAAGCCTTTTTAGACATAAACTGTGTTTATTTTACAAAAACATCTGTAAAAAATTATAATGTATGGAAAATAATGTATTATGAAAAAAAATCTATGTGTGGATTTCAAAAGCAGTAATTCATATTTTTCATTCCATTTTTCCATGAACATTCCGAAGTCCTCTCATTGGAGGACAAGAGCTTTGTCAGCTCTGTGGATGAGGTCTCAACTCAAATGACAATGCTGACTCTCAGAGATGCCAACAACTTGAAGTGGAGCAGATAGGATTCAACACTACATTATCAGCATCAGAAACTGGTGTATTCAACTTCTTCATTATCTCCTCCTGCTCAGAAAGACTTGAGCAGAGCCCCAGTGATCTAAACTACAGGAAACTCTGAGGACCGTTGGTAATCTCTTGCCAGTTCTGTAGTCAGAAATGGAAACCAACACCCATTTTTAAGTCTCTGATTGAGAATACAGGAGTGATTACAAGAGTGGTGAGGAAGGAGGCAGAAGTGAAAGTCAGGTGTGGGGTCAGGAGAGCCATCTCCTCTGAGTTATTGTGGGCCTGGGCTCCTGTGGTCTTAGCCTTTGAGCTCAGCCACACTTCACCCATGACTGCCCACAATCGACAGAGAAGCCCATGGAAAGAGCACAGTGGACAGAAAGTGAAACTGCTGCTGGGGTCACCAGAGGGGTAGAGTGGCCATGTGCCCTGTGTCTGATTCAGATGTGGTTTCAGGGGCCGGTATATTGAATAAAGCTGCAGCCTGCAGCCCTGGCATCCCATATGGGCCACAGTTCAACTCCTGGCTGCTTCACTTCCAATCCATTTCCCTGCTAACACACCTGGGAAATCAACATAAGATGATCCAAGCCCTTGGGTCCCTGCACCCACAAGGGAAAGCTGGATGGAGTTCCTGACTTCAGCCTGGTGCAGCCTCAGCTTATGTGGCCATCTCAGGAGTGAACCAGTGGATGGAAGACCTTTCTCTCTCTCTCTCCCTCTCTGCCTCTCCCTCTCTCTTTCAAATATAAAGAGTTTTTTTTTTTTTTTTTACAATGTGGCTTCAATTCTTTGTACTTGACTACCAGATACAAGTCACACAAAAAAGTGCTGAGCTCCTCTATGCAACAGAAATTGGGAGATTGTGCAGATGTAGTGAAACAGCCTACTTCCAACAGAGTTCAAAGCCTGGTACTTAGGAAGCCCTTGATAATGCCCATGATGTTATGCTCCCTGCCATCCTCATCATTGCCTTAATGATCATGTTTCTGTGTTCAGGGGACAGATTAGAGATGCATTTGCTTCTGTCATGAAGAGGATTTCAAAGGAGTAAGACTTAATACAGGAGGAAAGCCAAACTCGGAATGAGATATCCGGGACTCCTATCAGAAACAAGAACATAGACTTCACAGTCCTCTGGGCTGAAGCTTTGCTTATTGGTTCCATCCCACAAGCCTACCCCAACTCTCACTTTTCATCTGATGAGGAGAAAACAATGTTCCTAAGAGTCCAACCTCCTTCCCTGCTATCCCTCAGCACTTACTGGGCTGCACTGAGTCTCAACTGAAGCATGACCAAGGGTGATGGCTCCGCTGCTCCTCTTCTGCCTGGAGTGCAATGGAGGGAGCCTTGGGCTGTGCACTCAGGACTGGAGACAGACTCAGGCAGGGGCCTCCTGGTGCAGATGCTCACAGTGGGAGTGCAGCTACTATATTTCCACCAGGAAGGCAAGGTATGAATGTGCCAGTTCATTATTAGGATCTTGGGTGCTCAATGCACAGAGCTCCCAATTAGCCAGCCAGTCCATGTTACCCTAGTCCCTGAGGACTTGCCTATATTCATGGAAGAGGAATAGGAGAAAATAAGTGTACCTGGAACCTGTCCACAAGGAAGGTCACCTGTGCCCTTTGGTGCTGACATCCAAGTTGCAAAATCTTTACATAAAACTCAGCCTTCTGTTTTCAATTTCACAGCTGAATATGTGACTTTTTTTATGTCTGCCAATCCATTTTATGCATCATGAAACCTAAGGAGAATTGTATGTTGTATACCAATAATCAGATACTCTTTTCGCTTTCTCGGTTAGCATTAGTCTCTAAATAGAGCTTCCTATTTCATTTCCTAAGCCTTTG